TTGTTGCACAACACATGGCGAATAGATTTAGGATTGCTCAATACAAATTAACCTGTTGAAGGACTCGCAGTGCGCATGAGCTCCCAGAAGCACAGAAAATGAACACGCTGCAATGGCAAGACAGGGACGGGGACAGAAGCAAACGGAGGAGGGTGAAGGGGGGACATACATGTTCAGTGACAGTAACAGCGCCGAGCGCTACATACGCGGAACAGAACAGCGCCATGAGCTCTGACGCAAAACAGCGCGTCGCGCTGAGCGAGGCAAGCGCGATGCGTTGTTTTACTTCAGAGCTGGCAGGCCCCCGAGGGAGCCGCGAGGTCTCGGACGGATCCCCATACCACTCCACTCCACTCCGCTGGACCTCCCAGGAGCCCACAAAAAGTGGCGACTGTTTCACGCTTCGCAGCCCCCAAGGGAGCCGTGAGGTCCCAAATGGATCCCCGTGTAACTCCACTCTGCCTGACCTCCCAGGAACCCACGAGAGTGGCGACTATTTCACGCTTCGCAGCCCCCCAGGGAGCCGCGAGGTCTCAACTGGGTCCTCGTGTAACTCCACTCCGCACGACCTCCCAGGAGCCCACGAAAGTGGCGACGGTTCCACACTTCGAAGCCTCACAGGGAACCGCGAGGTCTCAGACGGGCCCTCGTGTAACTCAACTCCGCTCACCCTCGCTCCTACTCACTCCTTCCACCTCCTCGCACCTCCTCGGACCTCCTCGGACATCCCTCCTCCTCCTCCTCCTCCTCCTCCTCCTCCTCCTCCTCCTCCTCCTCCTCCTCCTCCTCCTCCTCCTCCTCCCCTCCTCCTCCTCCTCCTCCTCCTCCTCCTCCTCCTCCTCCTCTCCTCCTCCCTCCTCCTCTCTCCTCCTCCTCCTCCTCCTCCTCCTCCTCCTCCTCCTCCCTCCTCCCTCCTCCCTCCTCCCTCCTCCTCCCTCCTCCTCCCTCCTCCCTCCTCCTCCTCCTCCCTCCTCCTCCCTCCTCCTCCTCCTCCTCCCTCCCTCCTCCTCCCTCCTCCTCCTCCTCCTCTCCTCCTCCCTCCTCCTCCTCCTCCTCCTCCTCCTCCTCTCCTCCTCCTCCTCCTCCTCCTCCTCCTCCTCCTCCCTCCTCCTCCTCCGCTCCTCCTCTCCTCCTCCTCTTCCTCCTCCTCCTCCTCTCCTCCTCCTCCTCCTCCTCCTCCTCCTCCTCCGCCTCCGCCTCCTCCTCCTCCGCCTCCTCCTCCTCCTCCTCCTCCTCCTCCTCCGCCTCCGCCTCCGCCTCCGCCTCCGCCTCCGCTCCGCCTCCTCCTCCTCCTCCTCCTCCTCCTCCTCCTCCTCCTCCTCCTCCTCCTCCTCCTCCTCCTCTCCTCCTCCTCCTCCTCCTCCTCCTCCTCCTCCTCCTCCTCCTCCTCCTCCTACCTCCTCCTCCTCCTCCTCCTCCTCCTCCTCCTCCTCCTCCTCCTCCTCCTCCTCCTCCTCCTCCTCCTCTCCTCCTCCTACCTCCTCCTCCTCCTCCTCCTCCTCCTCCTCCTCCTCCTCCTCCTCCTCCTCCTCCTCCTCCTCCTCCTCCTCCTCCTCCTCCTCCTCCTCCTCCTCCTCCTCCTCCTCCTCCTCCTCCTCCCCCTCGACGTTCATGTTTTCCTCATCCTCCCTCCTCGCTCCTCGCACTTCCTCGCACCTCTTCGCACCTCCTCGCACCTCGTCGTAGCTCCTTACATTCCCTCGACCCTCCTCGTAGCTCCTCGTACCGTCTCGCACCTCTTCGTACGTCCCCGCACCTGCCCAACGCCTGGTCGACGACGACGACGACGACGACGACGACGACGACGACGACAACGATGACGACGACGACGACAACGAAGCTTCCATACGCACACATCTGATCATTGCACAGCGGAATGAGGGAAACGTAGGGAAGGATGGAGGATTGAGGAGGAGGGGGACAAGAGACCAAAAAACAAGAGGATGACGAGTCAAACATACCGAGTCACACGCAGTGGGAAATCTGTCGCCAGGCATACTTTGGAACCAAGCGTGAAGGAAAATGAAGAGGTGAGAGGGAACTAAGAGGATGGAAAAGTGGAGAAGGAGGAGGAGGAGAAGGAACAAAGGAGCGTCGAGGATGATGACAGGGAGTACGATGATGATGAAATGGGTGAGGAAGGTGCAGAGGACACGAATCCTAACAAAGAGATCGAGGACGGGGACAGCAAGGATGCTTGTATATTCCTGGCACTTCCCACGGTTGGCAACTGTGTGTGAAAGATTCTCAGCCTGCTGCATCGTGGTGATCATGGGGCTCTGAATGCAGAGGAGTCGGGGATGCCAATCGAGCGCCGTGGCCAAGAAATACCCGCAGTCTTGCCGGAACGGGCAAGTTGAAAACACCCCGGCAGCTCCAACTTGGGGTGTGCTACCCCACAATCTGCTCTAAAAGCAGAGGAGCCAGTGAAGCTGAACGGGCGCCTCGCTCCAGACATCCCAGAATTGCAGGAATTCTCAAGCGAGAGGCTCACTTCAGAATGAAATTGCAGGACGTTTCAAGCGGGAGCGCCATTTCTGAGTGAACTTGGAGGATCTCCAATTCCCATAGGGATCCAGGTCCAGAGGAGTCCTTCTTACAATCCTGGCGAACGGGCGAGTGTGATAGATCAGCCAATCAGGCGCCAAGCAGCCGATCAGCCGATCAGCCGATCAGGCGCCAAGCAGCCCGTCCGCCGATCAGGCAACAAGCAGCCGATCAGCCGGTCAGCCGATCAGGCCCCAACCAGCCGATCAGCCGATCAGCTGATCAGGCACCAGCTAGTCGATCAGCCGATCAGCCGATCAGTCGATCGGCTGATCGGCTGGCTGGCGTCTGATCGGCTGATCGGCTGATCGGCTGATCGGCTGGCTGGCGTCTGATCGGCTGATCGGCTGATCGGCTGGATCGGACAATGACCCCAGGCAGCCGTCGCGATGAAGGATCACTAAACCTTTCGCTCCCTCCTCCCCTCCCTCGCCTTCCCGCCGCCCTCCCTCACATTCCCTGCTCATTTCCCTCCTGCTCCTCATCATTCCCCTTCCTCCTGGAGAAAGCGGAAGAACATCAGACCTAGGCCAAAGAAGAAGTCTGGTTTGGACACAAACCTGGGTACTCCTACCCATTTGGGTCTGGTAAGGACTTCCTGACAATTGGGCAGGGAACGAAGATGAGAAGGAAGAGGAGGGATAAGAAGGCAGAACGGGGATTGACGACAAGAAAATCTAACAAAAGGCAGCGGATGGATGGAAGACGGAAGAGGGGGGGGGCAAGAGGGAGGAGAAGCGAGAGAAGGAGGAGGAGGAAGGGGGAGGAGGAGGAGGAAAAGGAGAAGTGGAAGGAGGCGGATGGGAAAGGAGGAACGCCACTTTGGTGGGACGGAGGGAAGAAGACGACGAGGAGCACGGGGAGGAGCCGGCGACGGGCCTGGCAGGCGCGACCAGGCTGGAATTCGATGCCGCACCCGAAGACGGCGCAGCTCCCCCGCGCGAAGCCCTGGGGGCGTGGCGGGGCGGACGATAGGAATGCAAGCCAGGTGAGCTCGCGCCCTGTCTGACGTCCTGCCCCCTCCCACCCATCCCCTTCCCGCGGCGCTGCTTCTTTTCTGCCCGCGGGCGCGGGCCACAGCGGACCTGGAACTCCAAAAAACGGTCGCGTCATGCGCAATCGGAGGGGAGCTGCGTACATAGGAGGAGGAGGAGGAGGAGGAGGAGGAGGAGGAGGAGGAGGAGGAGGAGGAGGCGGAGGAGCTGGAAGATGAGCAGGACGAGAAAGAGGAGGAGGAGGAGGAGGAGGAGGGAGGAGGGAGGAGGGAGGAGGAAGGAGGAGGACGAAAACGGATGGCAGCAACAGGATCTGGAGCGGAAGGAGCGGGAGGAAGGAGGGGGGGCGACCACAATGAGGAGGGGCTCGGACCCAGAGAAGCGGCCCGCGCCGGGGCGAGAGCGCCCCTGCCTGTGAACGGCGGGGGCCAAAGCCCCGATCCTAAGACGAGGCCCACGCTGCAGCGGGGGGCACCACCCTGGAAAGACCGATGACGCTCCGGTTGGAACATTACCGACCCACGAGCTCGGAAAGGAATATATATATATATATATATAGAAATGTAAGGCGTGGCAGGTTGTTTCAAGGTGCCCAATTGGGCGACGGGCAATTGCAGTGCTGAATGCATCGATCTTGACGTACCGGGCCGTGCCAAGGGCTGTGCTGTGCTGCGCCGTGCTGAATTGCGATGTGCCATGCCGCGATTGTGCTCTATAGCTTTGTGGATCGAGTCCCCCCTTGCATCCGAGTCCTGACCGAACCGATCTGGATCTTAAGCTCGAGCTGCCTGAGCACATTGTAGCTGCCCCAGAGCTAATTGACAGGAGGATATGCCAGGGGGACGCGCCGCGGAACAAGGCGACTTGCCATGGGGACTTGCCATGGGGACTGCCACCGGGACGCGCCATGGGACGTGACAGGGGACTTGCCATGGGGACGCACCGCGGGACCTGCCAAAGGCACGCGCTACGGATTTGCCAGAGGACGTGCCACGGGACGCGCCAGGGGACGCGCCGCGCGACGTGCCATTGGGACTCGCCATGGGACGCGCCAGGGAACGTGGCAGGGAGCGTGCCAGGCGACGCGCCAGGAAACGTGCCAGGGAACGCGTCAGGGAACGTGATGAGGCGGGACGTCCCTAACCCAGGGCCGAGATCCCTGCTAAATCACGATGCGTCCGCGCTCCCAGTGCCACGATCCATCGTAAATTACGTTGCGTCAGCGCTCCCAGGGCCACGATCCACCGTAAACTACGCTGCGTCCGCGCTCCCAGGGCCGCGCTCCCTCGTGAATTACGCTGCGTCCGCGCTCCCAGGGCCGCGCTCCCTCGTGAATTACGCTGCGTCCGCGCTCCCAGGGCCCCGTTCCCCAATAAATTACACTGCTTCTGCCCCACAAAGGCCACGATCTCTCGTAAATTATATTGCGTCCGTGCTCCCAGGGCCACGATGCATCCCAAATTACGATGCGTCCGCGCTTCCAGGGCCACGACCCCTCGTAAATTACACTGCGTCCGCTCTCCCTGGGCCACGATCCCTTGCAACATATGCTACGTCCGCGCTCCCAGGGCCGCGCTCCCTCGGGACATCCTCGAAGATTGGTTCGCCGGCCCCGTCTGGACCTCGTCATTCATCACAGAAAATCACAGAAAACAATGTCGCCGGCCCGTCTCAAGTCGTCCCCGGGGGTAAAAAAACTCTAAAACTAAACCCTGGGCCGGCGCCCTCTCCGCGAAAATTCACGGAGATGGGGGGGCGCGCGAATCTCAGGCCGTCTTCGGGGGAGGGAGGAGAATAGCACTCGTGTTTAAAGTGTCGGAGGGGGAGAGGGGGCCAAGGAGCGGAGGGGGGGACAAGGGAGGAGAATACAGGAGAATACATGACGATGGCACCGCAGGTCAAAGACAGCGGGGGGGCAGGAGACGGGAGGGGGAGGGAGGGATATGAAGCCCACTGAGGACGTGCGCGCCCAACCACGTGCATGAATACGGCCCCCCGTCCGCGAGACCAGCCTCGTGACACGAATGCTCGCACAACGCATACTTTCGAAACCAATGGGAATTCATGTACGTGTACGTCCTTCTTTCGCACCTGGGAGGGGGGACGGGGGGGAGAAGGGAGGAGGGCCGACGGCGAAGCGGGGACGGAGGAGAAAGCGAGGGGGGGAGCAATGAAGGCGAGGGATACTCGGGGACACCGACCTGACGATGTGCCACAGGATTGCATGTGGAAATCAAGCGATTGGAACACTTGACAATAATCAGCGCGGCCTACATCCATATCATAACATCTATACCCATGACTATACATATATATATATATCTATATATATATACACGCATAGACGGCTGAATACATATAAGATATGTATATATATATATATATATATGTATGCATATGTATAAACATATAAATATATGTATTGCTGATGAAATCTGAAACTGCGCATGTACTCAGGATGTCTTACTTCTTTTCGAAGAAACTGAGCTGGTGTGGCGGTCTGGCTGCTATGTTGACGCCGTCGCCGCCTCGTCGCCGCCCTGAGTCTGGGCAGGTGTGGCGGTCTGGCGGCTACGATGTCGCCGTCGCTGCCGGGTCGCCGCCTCGTCGCCGCCCGTCGTCTGGGCCAGTGCAGCGGTCTGGCGGCTATGTTGTCGCCGTCGCCGCCCCGTCGCCGACTCGTTGCCGCCCGTCGCCGCCGTCGGATTGCACCACATAGACTTGTTCAACTTCATTTCTGAGGAACTGGTCCTGGCTGTCGGTTTGCACAAACATTGATTGGACCACACGTATTGCATAACACAGACTACATCATACATATTGCACAACATGAACTCTCATCTCTTAAAAGAAATGAGATTCTACCCCCATCACCCCCCTGGGGTTATCCCCCACGCGCTTCGATTGGAAAATCATATATGATCGTGGGCGATCCCGCGCGCTCCTAGGCTGCCTCGCGTGACTTTTCCAGAGGCCACAGGGCCCCAAGACGGGCCCAGAGGGGCCCAAGAAGCGCCCAAGAGACATCCAAGACGCCCAAGATGGCCCCAAGAGGCCCCAAAGAAGTCCCAAGAGCGCTCCAAGAGGACCCCCAAGAGGGCTCAAAGAGGCAACATTCATTGTCGTTCCTTGTGTCTTTCTATGTTTTTCACGTTCTCGCGTTTTCGGGCTTCCGACGCTCCAAGACGGCCCCGGAGGCCCCAAAACCACCACAAGACGGCCCAAGAGGCCCCAAATCGTCCCAAGACTGTCCAAGAGGGCCCTCAAACGGCCCAAGATCGCCCAAGAAGGCCACAAGACGGCCCCAAGAGGGGCCCAAGAGGGGGAACACGAACCGAGCCTTCCGCCCCAAGAGGCCTCAAGAGGCCCCCAAGAGAGCCCAAGAGGCCTCCTAGAGGCCCCACAAGGCCCCCAAGAGGCCCAAGAAGAGGCCCCAAGAGGGCCCCAAACGGCCCCCAAGAGGCCACAAAACTGCCTCCAAGAGGCCCCCGAGAGGCCTTCCACGATATCCAAACGAACATCCAAAGCACTAGTTGGTGTGTCCTCAGGCCTCTTAATCGACCGACGGCGACGACGAACCCCGACGACGACGACGACCGTCTGCGACGACGACTGCGAACGACGACGACGATGACCGACGGCGACGACCAACGAGCGACGACGACGGCGACGACGACTGTCCGACAGACCGACCGACCGAACAACGTCGAACGACGACGATGGCGACGACGACTGTCCGACAGACCGACGAACGAACAACGACGAACGACGAAGACGACCGACGGCGGCGGCCAACGACGACGACGAACAACGACGACGACTGACGGCGACTGGCCGACCGACAGACTGAAAGACGAGAGAGTTGCTCTGACCGGTGAACAAAATTGAAGTACACGATGTTTTTACGCCTTGTTTTCTGCGCAATGCTTTCTACGTTATTTTATACTCGGTGTTTCCTACGCGGTAGTTTCAACGTTGTGCTTGTTTACTCACTCTGTATGTGTTACACTGTGCTTTCAGACGGCTTGGTTTTACGATGTCACGCGGCATGTTGTGGATGCTTGTTTTGTTTACATTGTGGTTGTTTACGTTGTGTCTTTTGTTCGTAATGTTACCTTGTGATAACGGTGGCGCCGCTGCTTGCCGGAGATCTCTCAGCTCCATGATCACAAGTGTCTGCCAAAGGACCGCGAAGTACCCCGCAGATACCTTCAGGGTACTTCGACGGGCGTTCCAGATTCCTTCGCGCACATTGGTTTCCTTTTGCCGACGCCTCAAGCGACCTGGATACGTAAAACCAAGCGTTTCGCTCAACATATCCTCAGCACATCCTCATGCTGGACATCCGCCTGGGCGACCTGGACACGCGAAAACGAGCGGTTCGCTCGAGACATCCTCCGAACACCTTCATGTCAGACATCCGCCGGGGCGACCTGGGCACGTGAAAACAAGCGTTTCGCTCAACACATCCTCAACACATCCTCATGCTAGACACCTGCCTGGGCGACCTGGACACGTGAAAGCAAGCGTCTCGCTCGAGGCATCCTCAACACATCTTCATGTTAGACATCCGCCTGGAAGACCTGGACACGTGAAAACAAGCGTCCCGCTCGAAACCTTCTCAACAAATCATCATGCTAGACATCCGCCAGGGCGACCTGGATACGTGAAAGCAAGCGTCTCTCGAGAGACATCATCAAAAATTCCTCATGTCAGACATCCACCTTGGCGACCTGGACACATGAAAATAAACATTTCGCTCAACACATCCTAAACGCATTCTGATGCTAGACATCCGCCTGGGTGACCTGGACAAGCGAAAGCAAAAGCGTCTCTCTCGAGACACCCTCAACACATCCTCATGCTAGACATTTGCCTGGACGACCTGAACGCGTGAACAAGCGCATCGCTCGAGACATCCTCGAAAAATCCTGATGTTAGACATCTGCCGGGGCAACCTGGAGGCGTGAAACCAAGCGTCTCGCTCGAGACATCCTCAAGACCTGGGCACGTGAAAACAAGCATCTCACCTGAGACATCCTCTGGATTCTAGTCCTCATGAGAAGAAGGATCTATAGCACAAAGCAAACGTTTCGCTCGAGAGACCATCAACAAATTATGCAAAACAAGCGTTTCGTTCGAGACATCCGCAACACATGTAAATGCTCGCTATAGCCTGTGTTTGATCGATCGGGATTTCCAAAACAAGCATTTCGCTCGGGACACCCTCAAATGATAATTCGCCGGCCCTACGCAACCTCGTCTTTTATCGCAGAATGATTACGCCAGCCCGTCTCAAGTCGATTCCGGGGGTAAACAGCCTAAAGAGAACCCTGGGCCGACGCGCTTTCCGGAAAAAAGCCTCCAAGACGTCTCCAAGCCAAGAGGCCCCAAGACGCCGAAGATAGCCTCCAAAAAAGCCCTGAAGCGCCCCAGGGGGTGGCCCAAGTCGGTTCAGATAGGCATCCAAGACGGCCTCCAATGGCGTCAGACGGGCCAGGAACGCCCTAAGATGGCCCAGGAGGCCCCCAAGAAGCCCCCAAACGCCCCCAAGAGGCCCAAGAAGGCCCCCGAGGACCTCTAAAAGGCAGGAAGCCCCCAGGAGGCCCCAAGAGCGGCCCCAGAAGCTCCCAAGAGGCATCCTCCTGCCCATCTCCTTTTCTTCCCGTTTCCTTCCTCTCCCCCTCGTCCTCCTCTTCCTCCCACACGTGTTCCCCGAAAGGCTTCCACAGCGGCTGGGTCCAATAGCGTGGCCATACTTTGCCCAAACGTTTGGACTCGTAGGCGGCGGTGATTCGCCGTAGGCGTCTTCGACAAACGCGCCCTTACTCTTAGGTCGGGCATGTCCCCCTACAGGCCGATGTTCGATGTAAAAATGAAGCATGCCCAAAGCACGCCCAAAAATAGTCAAACAATGCTCAAATAATCGTCCCCATTATAGGTCTTGACTATTTTTGAATATTCCTCCTGTAGAGGGACAGGCCCGCCTTAACCTTACTCGGCCTCCCCACTCCGAAGCTCCCGCCCACCCCCCGAGCCCCGGCCCTCCAGGCACGAGGGACCTCCGAACCTCCCACCCCTCCGACTCGCCCCCCCTCAGATCCGACGCCGGAATTGGATCGGGCCTGTCCCCCTACAAGGGGATTTTGAAGGAAAAAGGAGAATACGCAAAAAATGCTGCAAATTACAAAAAAATGCTTCCCAGACATGTTTTCTACTGTTTTTGAATCTTCCTCCTGTAGAGGGACAGGCCCGACTCAATGCAACCTCGCAGAAGCCACGACTGGAGCCCGAGACCGTGTTTCTCACGGACCATATACCTGCTTCTGCAGCAGGAAGACCACGAGGCGCAGTGCCACTGTGTACACCTCCGCGCTCCTTTGCTTACACGCCTCTGCCTGCTTCGCGGGCTCGCAGCTTACGCGCCTCTGCCTGCTCCGCGGGCGCTGCGGTTCCCTGGCGGTGCGGCGGAAGGTTTCTGCGCGAAGCGGTGGAAGTATTCTGGGAAGTATTATGTGGCATGTCATGCGTCGTGCTCCTCGGGGGGACGGCAGCTTTGCTGCTCGCTGGTACGAGCTGCGTCTCGGTGCTCCCTCCCCGGCTGGTGCTACGCCCGAGCTACGTGGGAAGACACTCGCGGCCCGTTCTGTGGTTCGCGGCCGCGAGGTCCCCTGAGAGGGACCCCTCGTCGCCCCAAGTGCTCCCTGATAGGTGCTCTGGCCCGGGGGCCGGCACCCCAGGCGCCTGGGGGCTGGGACCCCAGGAGCCCCTGGCATTAAGTCGGGCCTGTCCCCCTACAGGCGGATTTTGGGCAAAAAATGAAAAAAGGATTCGAAAAGATTCCCAAGACGCCTAAAAATGGTCAAAAAAACGTCCCCAAAATAATATCCTTCCTGTAGAGGGACAGGCCAAACTTAACCCTGGCAGTCAATGTTCCCTGGAAAGGGCTCTGGCCCGGAGGGCTGCCGCTCCAGGCACCTGGGGGGCTGGGACCCCAGGTGCTTCTCGCACCCAGGACTTCCGGATGAGAACTGCCCCCCAAGTGCTCCCTGCTTGGAGCTCTGCCCACCCTCGCCGCCCTCTGGGGCTTTCGCCAGCGCCCTGTCCAGGCTGGGAGCCTTGGGGGCGAGACCCAGAAGGCTCCAGCCAGGCCGCGCTTTTCCACGTTCCCCTTGCTGGCGCAGGGGCGCCAGCCATCCTTGGGAATGGACCTGGGCACTGTTATGACTTCCTGCGGCCATTTTGGAGCTGGATCGACCTGGGCTGGCCCCGGGGCCCGAAAGTTAGGGCGAGGAGGGCCTGGCGTGAAAACATCGCGGCGCCCAGATCTGCGGGCCTCCGAGGCTCCCACGCGTCCAGTGCTCGGCCAGGGGCAACGTTAGGGAGGGAGGGGCCAGCCCAGTGGGGAAGCATCGAGCTGGAACCGGCGAGACATCGCCGACAGATCGGCAGCAAGCCCCCGGCAGCAGATCCGCTCGGTCCTGGATGGGGCGGGCCTATCGAGCCTCGATCGGCGACGAATGAGCGATGGGGGGTCGATGCATCCCCTCCTGAGCCGAATTATCCCACCCAAGGTTACCCACTTGTCTTCGGGCCACAACTCGAGCGCCCTCGGCGAGGCGCAACCGCTGGAAAGCACCCCGAAGCTGGAAAACCGCCAAGCACCGACCAAAACGCCCGAGAACCTCAAGCCTCGAATCTCGAGCCCCAGGACAGAGCTCGAGCCTCGAGCCTGGATCCGCGACCCTTGAACCGCGCGCGACCCTGGAACGCTCCAGTCTCGAGCCTCGCCCCATCGACCGATCGTCCCTCGACCGCGAACACTCGCTCGATCGATCCTGGATCTCGCGCGTTGCCCCCGACTCGGCCCCTCGGGCCCCGAGGGCCTCCGCGCTGCCAGCGCCCACGCCGACCACGGGCAGCTGCCGCTCGGGGGAGGCGACGGCCAGCGTCTGCTCCTGGGGCAGCTTGCGCCCCTCCGCCAGCATGGGCAGCAGACGCTCGGAGCCCTGCTGGAGCGGGCGGGGGGGGGGAGGGGGGAGGGACTGGCCCCTGCTGCTGCTCCTCCTCCTCCTCCTCCTCCTCCTCCTCCTCCGCCTCCTCCTCCTCCTCCTCCTCCTCCTCCTCCTCCTCCTCCTCTCTCCTCCTCCTCCTCCTCCTCCTCCCTCCTCCCTCCTCCTCCTCCTCTCCTCTCCTCCCTCCTCCTCCTCCTCCTCCTCCTCCTCCTCCTCCTCCCTCCTCCTCCTCCTCCTCCTCTCCTCCCTCCTCCTGCCCTCTCCTCCTCCTCCTCCTCCTCCTCCTCCCTCCTCCTCCTCCTCCTCCTCCTCCTCCTCCTCCTCCTCCTCCTCCTCCTCCTCCTCCTCCTCCTCCTCCTCCTCCTCCTCCTCCTCCTCCTCCTCCTCCCCCTCCCATACACCTCCTCGCGCCGTGCGCAAAATCATGAAGGGGGGCTGTGGGCTATTTGCAGCCTCCAGGGGGCCCTCGCTGGGCCATGGGGCCGTCAAACAATCGACTCGTGATGAAAAGCCAGTCCCAGGGAAGGGTTCTAGACCTCTGGGGGTCCACGTTGAAAAATTACCCTGCGACGTACCCGACTCTTTCTGTTCATGTGGCGACGATACACAGAACCGATCGATACAAACGACAGTGTTGAAGAACCCGCGGGAGCCGACGAAAGTAGCGACAGCTGCGCACTTCGCGGCCCCCCAGGGAGTCGCGAGGTCTCGGCTGGGTGTGTTTACAACTCCACTCCCCCTGGCCTCCCAGAAGCCCACGAAAGTGGCGACAGCTGCGCACTTCGCGGACCCCCAGGGAGCCGCGAGGTCTCGACTGGGTGTGTTTACAACTCCACTCCGCTGGGCCTCCCAGGAGCCCACGAACGTGGTGACAACTTCACACTTCGCAGACCCCCCAGGGAGCCGCGAGGTCTCGGCTGGGTGTTTACAACTCCACTCCGCTGAGCCCCCCAGGAGCCCACGGAAGTGACGCGAGCTGCGCATGTCCCTCCATTCCGCTGGACCTCGCAGGAGCCGCTGGACCTCCCAGGAGCCCCACGAGAGAGGCAGAGGGCAGGAGAGAGATAGGAGGCAGGGGAGAGGAGGAGCGGGAGGAGAGGAGAGAAGGAGACTCGACCACAGTGCTCTATTCAAAACGAGAGCCAAACACAGGAGGGCTGGGAAAAATCGCGACGTCGGGGCTCCACGCCGTCCCCCATCTGAGAAAACCAATAGATCCACTACCGTGCCTTCGACACGAAGTGGCGTGCCCCAAGGCTCATGCAGCCCTGAAAGGTATGGAGGCTGTCTGAAAGTCTTAAAAGCCCAGACCCCCGGTTTCAAGGCGTTTCCGGGCGCTACTGGGCGCTCTCAGGGTACTTCGACGAAAAAGCTGACGAACGAAAAAGGCAAGTCGTCAGTTTTACGGCGCTTCGGCAACAAGCGCCGAAAAAATGACGACGACCACGACCACGACCACGACCGCGACCACGACCACGACCACGAGGACGATGACGACGACGACAACCACGACCACGACCACGACCACAATCACGACCACGATGACGGAAATAGTGACAACGACTACGACCACGACCACGACCACGACGACGACGAGAACGACGACGACGACGACGACGACGACAACGACGACGACGACCACGACCACGACCACGACCACGATGACGAAAAACTGACGACGACCACGACGACCACCACCACGACCACGACGACGACAACGACCATGACCACGACAACGACCACGACGACGAGGACCATGGCGAGAACGAGGCCGACGACGACGACGACGACAACGACGACGACGAGCGGAGCGGAGCTGCGTGCGACCTCGACCAGGCTGGCCCTCGGCGGGTGCGCCGCGGGCCCGGATAGCCAGTCGGCGTCCCTGCGGCGTTGGGGCGCGGGGGGGGCGTAGGCGAGCGTCGCCCAGGAGGAGCCGCCAGTCGGGTGCTGCCGCAAGTGGCCCCCAGCCCAAGGTGCCCCAAAGGCTTTCCAAGGAGGCCCCGATGGCCCCCAGAGCACCCCTCGCGAGGCTGCAGGGGGGCCCAGGGCTCCAAAACGAAGCGGAACGCTGAGGGGAAATTCGGGCCAGGGGTGCCCTCCGAACCCCCAGAAGCAGAAAGGCAAAAGCACAGGTCTGCAGGGGAGAGCCACGGCGTGAAGCGCGGGCGGCGCCCACGACGGGGGTGGCGCGAGAGGGGGGGTTCGGTTTCTGAGACGACAGAGGGGACTTCTTAGAAACCCGCACGGTTTGTAAGAAGCCTTCTGGGAAGCCTCTGGGGCCTTCTAAACAAAAAAAAACTGGTTTTTAAGAAGCCTTTCTTCCGCATCCTTAGAAGGCCACCCCCCTCGCACCACTCCCCTGGCGGGCGCCGCAAGGGCGGGGAGGCACACACGCCAAGTCGACCTGCTCGGCGCGTCAACCTGCACAAGCGCGTCGGCCAACGAAACAAGAAACGGTGAAAGCAGCAATTTTCGTTGTGGATGCCGCGACAATGGACACCCTAACAATCCGATCATTGAACTGAAATGTGCTCACAACTCAGAAGTTCTGTTCTGAAATATCCGAAGCATGTCGTTGACATGTTTACGACATGTTCTATACATCTGGAAACGATTTGGCAACATGTTTCCTCTCCATTGGTCGTCGTCCACAAAACTCTCGGAGATCCGACCACAATTTCTGGGCCGGCACTGACGCCACTCTCTGCAACGCCTTGGCGGCGCCGTGGGCCGGGGGGGGGTGGGCAGCTGGAAAAAAGCAAAAGCTAGAGGATCGAGGACCCAAGGTCGAGGATCGAAGCTCGAAGATTCTAGGCTCGAGGATCGCGGTTAGTTAACGCGTTTCGCAACTGTTGGGTTTCACAGGGCCTCCCCGTTGCCACGGCCAGGTCCGCCTCGAAATTGTGACAACAGTGTTCCCAAAGAGAAACCCCGAGGTCCCCGAACCCATGCCCTCTCGCGCCGCGAAAAAAAAACACGAGGGATAGCGTTTGGCAAGTTTCGGCCTGGGGCCTTCACCGAGCCCTGAACTGTCAATTACTCCGACAGTAGGACCCCACATGATAATCCCCCAAAACAACCTGATTGTAAACCTCATCGTCGCATTTGTGAATGCAGGAGCTCTCTTCCCGTCTCCTCATCGCCCTTCTCCCCTTCGCCCTGGCGGAGGCCCTCTTCCCGCCCCTGCTCTTGCCCCTTCTCGTCCTCCTGCCTCTCCCCCCCCGCCCGCCGCCTCCCCAGCCCCTCTAGCAAGGGCGCGCGCGTCGATCTCTGCACGGCGCCGTCGCCGCATCGGTCGGCGGGAGCTCGTTTTCCGAAGGCCAGACCGCGAAGCCGTTGGGGCAACCCCGCGGGCCAGGTCGCAGGGGCAAACTCCATCGGGCCGCTGGGGCGCAAGATCAAGCCGCTAGGGCAACCCCGCGAGCCTCTCGCCGCGCGCCGCGGCGATCAGGCGGGAAGCAGCACGCCGCCGAGCTCTGCGGCGAGCTGCTCGGCCTCAGCCTTGGAGCTCTCCGCTATCTCGTCGAACTTCTTGAGCGCCTTCCACAAAGACGCCCGCGGCTAGCGCCCCAGATTTCCTCGCAAGGGCGGCCGCGGGACCAGCATGTCCCGCGCGCACGTGGCGCGGGAAACCACGATGTAGAGGTGCAGCCACCCCCGCTCGCCCGACATGCCCGCGCGGCCAGCGCCCTCATCCCTGGCGCAGTCGACGGCGACGGCCCCGCGCAACGTCTGACCTTGCGACAGCGCGGAAGTCGGGTGAACCCCAAGAGACGAACATCGCGCGGCCGCGAGCTCTGCCAAGTGAACTCCTGCTCGCTGGGCCTGAACACGAGCTAGATCCGCGCCCGCGCCTGGGCCTGGCCGTCGTCGCCAGCGCCGTCGGCGTCGACCAGATTCCCTGCAATAAGACACGGGGGCGGAAGAGTTGGCCCGGCCCGCGCTAGATGCATCGCTGCTCGTCCTCGAGCCCAAACTCGAAAGTAACGACGGTGGCCCGCTGCTCCTGCGCGAGCCCCGACTTCATTTTCAGCTCCTCCTGCACGGCAGATGACCGAGCCATGCCGACGTGCGCCAGTAAGACGCCGCGGATCTGCCCTGTCTCGCGCATGTTCGGGACGCCCAGAAGGCGCCGACCTGCGCAGCGATCGACGCGGATTGCGTCGCACCCGCCCACGGCCCACGACCAGCAATAAAAAGAGGAACACGCCACGACGTCTTGCGTCGCGACGAGCGCGCGTGCTAATCCACTCGCCAGCGCCCCCCAAGTTGACGCCCATGCCGAAGCCGAGCCGAAAGTTCCCCCGCTGGCGCCGCGAGCCCAGCACGCCGCGGCTATCCTAGGCCAACGTCTGCTCCCAAGCGGACCAGACCTCTGGCGGGAAACGCCTGCCCTCGCGCACGCACCCCAGGAAAGCGACGAGAGGGCCCCCAGGCTCGAAGAGCTTCGCGCCCTTCAACTCGAAGACGCAGGGGATCGATGGCGCACTGAATCTCCACCATTGGCGGCACCGTGCACTTGTACGAACCGTCGTCCAAGAGCTCGCTCACGTCCGTCCGGAAGCCGATGCTGCCGGCGGGCTTCTGCTGCAGGAAATCGCCTAGCAGCAGCACGATGGGGCCGCCCCCGAAGTGGTGGCGCGGCCACTTGTAGGTGGACCCCCGCGCATCACGCGCGCCACTTCGCCCGCGACACGCGCGAATGTCCAGCGTGCTGTACAGCGCTGCCGCCAACATACTCACCTCCCCGATGGCCAGAACACGGACGTGCTCCCACAACAACTTCGACCTGTCCTGCTTGCTCCCAGGCCTCCTCTTCGCGTCGATATTATTTTTGGGCTCGCAGAACGCAGGCGCTCTGCGGGGTTCTGACCTTCACCGTCTCCGTGGAGATATTATTTCTTTGCGCGTTCGCGCGTCTTCCCCGAGCCGCCTTGGCCCAGCAGGGGCAAATGTGCCACTTTTCTCTCGCCCAGGGTTTCTTCTGGACGTCGTCCTCCCAGGCTTCGACGAACAGCGCCTGGTCCCGCGCGAGTCTCCAGTCAGCGACCATGGCGGCGATGCACGCGCTGGGCGTGGAGTACACGCTGCCGTCGAAGATGGCAGCAGCGGGAGCGCCGCCCAGGCCGCCAACGTCCTCGTCCGCACCGTCGTCGGCGCCCGCCACATCCTCGTCGCGACTGCTCTGGAGGCAGTTGGCACGCAGGGTCGCCCAGGCGTCTCTCTCCTCGCGTGCCGCCGCTACGAGAGGCCGATACCCAGCCGCGGTCGCAGGAGCGGCCGCGCCCTCCGTCGGCTCGGGCATGCCCGCGCCCTCGCGGGCCGCCCCGGACATGCACGGGAGAACGCGGAGTTCTTCGGCCAACTTCGCGAGGAACTTGCGGCGCGCGAAGTTCAGGACTTCCGCCATGTCCTGCTCTCCGTGAATGCCCCATGTCCGGAGCGGCTGGAACTGCGCTCAAATCGCCGGGGGAGGCGCGGCTGGGGGTGCTCAATGCCCTCGCCCGCCGCGGCATTTGCGTCTTGACCGGCGCCTCCACCGGTGGTAGCCTTGAGGTACGCGCTCTGCACACCTGCGTCGCTCGGGTACTGCAGGGGTTTCTTCTCCTCGCGCGCCAACAATAACAAGATTCAGGATGACCCGTTCGGATTACTGACATGAGCTGCGGGCCCCATAGGGGGGGGGGCCCGCCTAGGACTTCCTCGGAATTCATTCACAGACGAGGCTCCCGCTTGATACTCCCTCTATATTCAAGCTTGGGGAGCTTACGGGCGTCGACAATTACAGGTTTGAGAATACCCCGCTCGGATCAAAAACATGAACTACACGCCCCATACGGAAGGGTTCCCGCCTGAAACTCCTTCGCACGTCACTCACAGACGAGGCTCCCGCCTGACACTCCCTCCATGTTCAGGCCTGTGGAGCGCAAAAGTGCCGACAGTTACAGGTTTCTGCATGACCCGTTCATATTATAAGCATAAGCTGCGGGCCCCACACTGACGAGGTTCCTGCCTGATACTTCCTCCATGCTCAAGCGTGGGAAGCCCACAAGTGACGATAAATACACGTTTTTGGATGACCCGCTCATATTATCCTTCTCCTCCTCCTCCGCCTCCTCCTCCTCCTCCTCCTCCTCCTCCTCCTCCTCCTCCTCCTCCTCCTCCTCCTCCTCCTCCTCCTCCTCCTCCTCTCCTCCTCTCCTCCTCCTCCTCCTCCTCCTCCTCCTCCTCCTCCTCCTCCTCCTCCTCCCTTCTCCTCCTCCTCCTCCTCCTGGCCAGGCCAGGGAGGGCGCACACTGATCCTGGGCCAAGACCGGGGCCCAACCAAGGTTGGCGTCAGCCTGGCGTCGGCGACCCTCGAGGGGGCCGGTGGCCCCCACGATCGGGTCGAGAGGCAGCCAAGCAGGACGATGAGCGTGGAGTTCAGACATCCAAGCCTGAGCAAGATCCTCCCCTTCAGATTCAGATTCACCCTCATAATCATTCTCCTCCTCACCATCATCACCATACTCATGGTCATCATCCACCGTCATCAGCATCAGCACTGTCTCCATCATCGTCATCATCATCAGCAGCATCATCATCATCATCATCATCATCATCATCATCATCATCATCATCATCATCATCATCAGCATCATCATCAGCATCATCATCATCATCATCATCAGCATCATCATCAGCAGCAGCATCAGCATCAGCATCAGCATCAGCATCAGCATCATCATCATCATCATCAGCAGCAGCAGCACAAGCATCAGCATCATCAGCATCAGCATCCTCGTCCTGTTCACCATGATCATCATCATCATCATCATCATCCTCATCCTCATCATCATCATCATCATCATCATCATCAGCATCAGCATCATCATCATCATC